GAACCCAATTCAGCCCAAACAAATAAACCTGAAACAAAAGTATCCACCTGAAGTAAGTTTCTCAACAATGGTTAACTTTCTCAATAGAGTGTTTTGTTCTGGTACTATAATTGACATAGTAAACAAACAACACCCCCCCCTAAAAAACCCCATGTGCTTTTTAAATAAAATTATTTAGTCTCAAATTATACATGATTCATGGAGAATAGATGTTAGAAATAGGCAAAGATAATGTTAACAAAGCCAGGAAAAGGATAAATACATAACATACGAATACTAGAAAAATCATCAGCTCACAGGACACCTTTCATTAGCACACATTCACTGCAGCTGGCTCTCCTCTTCTGTGGCATGTCCATCTAGGCTCCTAAAGATATCCTAAGCTACTCTACCTAAGAAATTTCTCAGCAATTCAAAAGTATGTAGGTACTCCAAATAGATCCTAGATGACTAGAAAATTACAGTATTTATTATGTTTCCATAGTTGAAGAAAATCAGCAAGCAAATTATATAACTTCCACTATTTTTTTTCTAGAAAAGACCAATTCATAATTTAGTGTAAAAAACACAAAATTAGTATTAAAAAATATAAATCATTCTAGAATTTAGATTCTAACAGAGAAACCATGAGTCAGAGACTATTCTACAGTTTGAATCACAGAACACATATCAGTACCAGAAACTATAAACAATGCTTTCTTTTCCTTCTAGTATTCACAACACTGTCATATAAAAGCATATTTTCTCTCTTTACATTCCTATTACTCTCTATATAATTATAGCTCCCTTAAAGAAAAAAAACCTACTTTTTACTTCTCTTTCTCCACTTGCTAGCAGAGAACCTGTCATGTAGTAAATGCTCAAAAAGCATGACTTAAGCAAACCAGAAGTAAAACTTCAGTGGAAAAGCATAATCTATTCCCAGTCCTAAAGTGCATGTATATGCACAGACGCATATATAAATTTAGAACACTTTTAATTTTCTCTTCACAAAGATAGTATTTTGTTTGCTTAAGAAATCAAAATTTCACATGATGGCCACACATTTCTCCAGGGAACAGGATCATCTACTTGATCTTAATCACAAAATAATGCCTCTAAGCCAAATATAGTAGTATTTTAAGAAACTAATGAGACTGTCTTATAGATAATGGCAAAACTCCTGAAATGTTTATCACATCTCTCCTGCTCTGCACCCGTCTCTCAGATGGGGTCTCACATTGTAGCCAAAGCTGTATGGACTACAACTCACTATGCAGTTCTGACTGGTCTCACACTCATAGCAATCTTCCAGCCTGGGATTATAGGTATAAGCTACCACAGTGGCTGGAGATCTCTAGCTCCATTGGATAAAATGCTTGCTGAGCAAGCATGAGGAGTTGAGTTCAATTCCCAGAACCCATGCAAACAGCCAGGTACAGTGGTACACACTTCTAATCTCAGCTGGGGAGGCACAAACAGGAAGACCCATGTGGCTCACTAGTCAGCTAGGTTTGCCTAATTGGAGAGCTCCAGACCAATTAGAGAACCTGCCTCAAAGGATAGCATTTTTGATGGTAACACTTGGGGTTGTCCTCTGGCCTCCACACACATGTGCATGAAAATACCCATGTACTCCCACATACATACATGCACACAAAAGCACACACACATAAAATTAAAAAACAAACCACTATTAGCAATATTATCATTTAGTATTTTCTGTATATCAAGGTTGTGCTAAGCACTTTGCTACAGTACCTCATAGAACTCCCAAATAATGGAGTAGGATTTTTTTTTAAATGGTCAGCACTCAGATTACTAAATAATTAGAAGAAACAAGGCCAACAATAGAAATGTTTAGGATAAGCCATGGAGGAAAAGTGGTTTACAATCTCTCTTGAAGGCCTAAGCAGGGAAGCTAATAGGTAAAAACAATGATTATTTTTGTGACAGCAGATATAACTTGTTGAATATTTGAAAATTAAGTTTTATGTCCAAAACTTCACAGGATTCAAATGCATTTCTGTGTAGTTTCATAGGCAGGGCTGTTCTTAAGGTCTGCAAAAGACTCAGGGCAAGAGAATAATATAACTATACTTTCTCAAAACAGAGTCTAAATCTTTATTTTAAAAAACATGCTAAAGAATATAGTTTCAACATTGTTTGAAACAGGATCTAAATGAAGAGCTCTTCAGCGCTACTGAAATCATGTATTTATCTGCCTCATGAGCATATTCACTTAAGAGGCCCTGAAGGCAACCTCACAACCAGTCAATCATAATGCACTCATCCACCATCTTGCCACTAAATCCTAGTTTGGGTTTAGCCTTTCTCAATATCCATGGTATTCAGTGAAAAAAAAATACAACTTCAGAATTTCTCAGGCTTACTAACCTCATTATTTTCACACTCTGACCCAATCACAGGTGTTAGAAAGTAGTAAAACTGATTGGTTTCTGTTGTATTTATCCTTTCCATTAATATGAAAAAATGAATTCTGAAATCAGACAAACCTGCTTTAACATTTACCATCAATATAGCCTAGCTACAGTTATTTAATATTTCCATTTAACTTCAAAATAAACATTCCTACTAGAAGCAAGGTATTTTTTATTGTACTATGAAATATCTACAGCAAAATGATTGTGAGGAAGTGATTAAAGGTGACTAGCACAATTTTTTGGTGAAATAAAAATTTCTTAGTTTGACATTTTAAAAAAACGAGGTATGTCTAAAGACATCATTAAACACTTTTTGGGGGTCTTTTTTTTGAAACATGGTCTCTCCATGGTCTTGCTATGGAGAACAGGTTGGCCTTGAACTCACAGAGATCTGCCTGCCTCTACCTCCTGACTGCTGGGGTTAAAGGAGTGCACCACCATGCCCAGCTTTCGTTAATACACTCTATTTAATAGAAGAAGGATATCTACAAAGTTTTCAGTAAAGAACGGATCCAAAAGGGGAAAGTTGTCTATGTGCAAAGTCCAAAGTAGCTACCATGTAACATTTCTTAAGAGGTATACTATGCAAAATAAAGTCAGACACTAAAGCATATGTGACATACCAGCAGCATTCCATTTCTTTGAAATTCAGGTAACAGGCAGAAATCAAATTGTGGAGGAAGTCAGACTAGCAATTACTTCCAGGTATAAAGGGGAAGGGTACTTCCTGGGGAAAAGACTAAAGGAGCCTTATGAGATGACAGCTTTGTTCTAGCTGTACCTTGATTCTTCCTTCATGAGTACATACATATGTAAAAATTCACTGGGCTGAACACTTACAATCCAGGCATTTTACATACAACACCACCACAAAATGAAACAAATCATAGAGAGCGTAGTGGTCAAATTGGAAAAGGGACCATAAAAAACAAGTATGATGTTTTTAAGTTTTTGTTAATGATTTCTTTATAGTGAGAAGTAACCAATGCATTATTTTTTTTTAAAAAAAAGTAAGTTCAGTTTCTCTCTGAAAGTAGTCAAAGAACATGGAAGGTGGGCAATCAATACTGCCTTCTGCAGCTAGATGTTATGGGCCAGAACACAAAGAACAAGGTGACTCTTGGTGGGCAAGCATGATGGTAAGAGCACAGAAAAAAATCTGGACCTGATAGGCAGTAAGAAAAGACAGAGGGTCCCAAAAGCTAGTTAATAACTCATCTACAAACCTTAAGGTGAAGTCCTGGAGGTACTCATTAAAGTTTGTCTACTTGCTTAAAAATATAGTTATGGGGCTGGGGAGATGGCTCAGTAAGTAAAATACTTGACACATAAATGAGGACCTGAGTTCAGATGCCCAGAACTCACTTAAAAAACCCAGACATGGAAGTGTACATCTATGATCTCAGTACTGGGAAGAAAAGTCAGGTGGATTCCTGGAGCTCACTGGCCAGCCAGCCTAGCACAGCTGGTGAGCTCCAGGTTCAGTGAGAAATCCTGTTTCAAAAAATAAAATGGAGGAGCTGAAAAGATGAGTCACTGGATAAAATGCTTCCTGTACAAATATGAGGACCTGAGTTTGGATGCCAGGCACCCATGCATATACAATGCATGGGTGGTGTGTATCTGTGAACCCAGTGCTGGAAAGCAGAGACAAGCAGCTCCCAGAGGCTCCCTGGATAGTAAATCTAGCCAAAATATTGAACTAAAATGTTGAAAGATTCTATCTCAAAAATTAAGGTAGAGAGAGGGTCTGGGGAGATGGCTCAGTGGGTAAGAGCAATGGTTCTGCAAGCCCAGGGGCCTGAGTTCGAATCCCCAGCACCCATGTAAAAAGCAACACATGGATGCAAGTGTCTATAAACCTCTCAGCACTGGTGGAGTTAGAGATAAGTGGATTCTGAGGGTTCATTGGCCAGTCAGTCTAGCTCAAAAGGCAAGTTTCTGGTTCAGTGAGAGATCATATCTTAAGGTGATGAAAAGTAGAGAGCAATAGAGGAAGGCACCTGACAGCTTGCTCTGGCCTTCGCATATGTATGCATGGACACACACACCTGCACACTCGTGTATGTATGACATAAGCACACACATACACACAAACAAGCAACTGAGGAAGATACTTGACATTAACTTCTGCCCTCCACATGCATATGAGTACATACACATATATGAACACACATACACTCATTCTTCCAAAACACCATTAGAAAATATCTTTCCAAAATCACAGACTATAAAGTCTAATTTTAGACATGAGAAATATAAACTACTCTATCAGAACCATCAGCAGCTCTTAATGAAACGAAATAAATACCTGCATTAAGTTGTATACACTCTGCTTTGCAGCTTTTGTTAGCTGTTAGAACCAGGCACTGTGCTTCTCTGACACATTTATGGAAGATGTTTGTGAGAGTCACAAAGAAGGTGGAACATGAAACCAATGAACAAGCAAAGCCGTATTAACTCAACTTTTACATTCTCACTATTAAACAAAGGGAAAAAAATGATGTAATGGTCTAAGACACAGACTACAATGAGCAACAGGAAGCTCTCCATTTCAATGGATAACTCCATTCTCACCTTTATCCCGATCATAGAGCAAATCTTCTGTTGAACAAGGGCTGCCATCCTGGGATTCAGGAGGACAAAAGGGGGATACACACGGGGAGTGGCTGCTACAGCTGCTGCTGCGCTCCTGTACAGAAGGAGTCTGGGTGTCTATGCTGCGTGTACTACTGCTCCGGTAGTGAGCAGGGAGAGGAGCTCTGCGACCATCTGGTATATCCAAAGGCTGTAAGAGGAACATCAGATTAAGCATGTGGGTGACGCATGTACATTCTATTCATTAAGAAAGCATGGGCTAGGTCTTCAGATGTCATATTCCACCACTGTCACCACTATAATTTATTCCTCAGTGAATAAAAAACTTTGTATCTTAGGTAATTTATAGGCATGTTGCTTTTATTCAACTAAAAGTTTATTATTTCAAATTGTTCCCTTTAAACATTACATGGCTTCCTGAACCAAGAACTTCTACTTCCTTTGAATTACCCAAAATTTCTAATAGAAATTTATTTTACTAGCATTCAGTGGAGAATAATCATCTCAACAATTCTACTAATTTCTTATGACTACTAATGTTCTGTTTTAATGCACTACTTGAAATAGTAAAGGCAGTAAAAGGGTAAAGTGGCACTAGATCTGTTTGAGTGAACCCTTCTATTCTACAACAGTCACTTAGCTCTCATTTCATTTCCCTCATTTATCTGCCGATAAACTACAGTCAACGTGTAAAATTCTGTATGCTATTTTTCTTAAATAATTTAAAACACTGTTATTATATAGACAGAAGTACAATGCATAGAAAATAAGCTAATGTTCACTTGTTTCAAATTTATTTTCACTGGCGTACCTACTCCTCCCTGCTCTGAGCTCTTGTCATTTTAAGATTCAGAAACACTGTAAGAGGAAAAAAAATGGAGAAAGGAAAATTAGGCAAGATTAAAAATATATTAATATTTTCTTTTTAAAAATTATTTTTATTAGCTGGGCGTGGTGGCCACACACCTTTAATCCCAGCACTCAGGAGGCAGAGGAATCTCTGTGACTTCAAGGCCAGCCTTGTGTACATAGTGAGCTCTAGGCCAGTTGGGGCTACAGGGAGACCTTGTCTCAAAAAGACAAAAAAATTATTTTATGTAAAAAAAAATTCTATGTATGGGTGTATTGCCTGCATGTATATAAGTGCACCTGTGCCCTACAGTGCCTTCAAAGGACAGAAGAGGGCATCAGATCCCCTGGAGTTGGAGTTACAGATGGTTGTTAACTACCATGTGAGTGCTGGGGATTCAAACCCAGGTATTCTGCAAGCAAACCTAGGTCTTCTGCAAGCAAACCCTGGTCATCTGTAAGCATAGCCAGTGCTCTTAACTGCTGAGCCAGCTTTCCAGGCCCCAATAGCAATATATTCTATAATAAGTGAGTGAAAGGTGAAATATGAAATGATTGATTGAAATAGAAATTTCATTTGTCTATGTGATGCTAATGAATCAGACACCAATATCACAAACTGATAATACTCTAAAGAAATTATTCAATTATCTAAATATCAGTTCACTTTGTTATTATAAGTTTCCAATTAAGGAATATAATAAAAGATTCATTGGTCAAATTCTGAAGAAAATGTTAGCTCAATAAAAATGGCAATACTAGGAGTCAGTAAAAGAATAATGCACAAAGAGCTGTAAAATATCTATGAATTTGGCTTATGCTTCCTTTATGTCTTACCTAATAAAATTTCTCTGTATTTCTATTTCTTAATCTACAACTAGATAGCATATATTAATTTATGTTGTGGTTTGAATAAAAATGTCCTACATAGTCTCAAATATTTAAACACTTAGTCCCCAGTTGGTGGTGCTGTTTGGGGAGGTAACAGAACTTTTAGGATGTGGAACCTTGATAAAGGAACTACATCACTGGGGGTTGGCCTTGAGAGTTTACAGTCTCACCCCACTTCCTATTCATATTCTTTCTCTCCCCTCTCCTGTCCTGTGTGAGACCGAGATGTGATCTCTCAGCTTCCTGCTCCAGTTGCTATGCCTCCCCAGCCATTATGGACATCTAGCCTCCTGGAACCATAATACAAAGAAACTTATTTCCTTAAGATGCTTCTGGTCATGATATTTTGCCACAGCAACAGAAAAGTTGGTGTTGAGAATGGGGTTGTTGCCGTGAAGAACCTCATCTTTTTTTTTTTTGGAGAAAAATAGAAGACTTTGAAACTTTGGACTAAAAAAGCAATTCAGTGTTGTATGCAGAGCTTAATGGCCATTCTAGTAGGAGCCTGAAAGATAGAAGTGCTGAGAGCAATGTGGACAACAGAAGATCAGCTCACAGGGTTTCAGAGGGGAACAAGTTTTTTTTTTTTTTTTTTTTTTAACTTGCACTTATTTGAGTATATCAGTGTGAATGTATGTATGTGGGCACACACACACACAAAGGTCAGAGGATAACCCATGGGACTTCTTGGTCTCAGGGAATTTTTATGAATAACAATTACAGCTCAATAATAAAAAGTTCAATTTTAAAATAGAAGGTCCTAAATAAAAAATTCCCTAAGGAAAACAAATTATCAATAACTTATGAAAAGATATTTAGTGTTATTATCCATTAGGAATACAAATCAACATTATGGTAAGATGCCGCCACACTGTTCCCACTACAGGTTGGCTATAATGAAGAAAGAAAGATTACTGTAAGTTTTAGTGAAAATGTAGAGAAATCAGAACCTTCTTACTGGTGCGAATGTAAAATGATATATAGATGCTTTGGCAACAGCCTGGAAGTTCTTACAAACATTAAACAAAGAGTTATAAAATTTGGTCATTCCAATTCTAAGTACTCCAAGATGAAAAAATTACATTCAAATGAAAGTTTGTACACAACTATTCATGGCAACATAGATTAAAAAGTAGAAATGATTTAAATGTATTCAGTTGTTGACTAGAAAAATCCATACAACTAAGTACTATCTGGAAATAAGAAGGAAATACTGATAAATGTTACAACATGGATGACTCTTAAGCATACTACGCTAAGTGAAAATAAAATCCAGTTACATATTTTACTATGCTAAGTGAAAATAAAAGCCAGTTACATACATAAATATATGATCCCATTTATTTGAAATGTCTAGAATAGGACTATCCATAGACCCAGAGTGGATCAGTGGTAGCCTAGAGCCAGGAATATTAAGAGGAAAATGAGAGATGGCACAAAAGAGTATATGGAAATTTTATCTCCATAAAGCTGTTATCCCAAAAATATTTTGAGATATTGTAATATTATTGAACAAAATGATTTAAATACCACATGTAATCTTACCTTGGACACTTCCTCCTTCCCATTATTTTCTTTGATGAATACCTTTTCCAATTCAGGACTTATTCCTTCTACATTGCAGGGCACACGTGAAACAGCTGATTTTGGCACTGATATATTTGACAGAGGCATAGGGACTGACCTTGATCCAATAGCCTTTGAGGCAGAGATAAAGTACAGACAAATTATTTGTGGTCAAAGCAATCAAGAATTAGAGCATGATAAATCTTAAAACTGAAGAGGTAGGGATGTAGCTCACTGGCAGACTTTTGCTTAGCATACGTGAGGCCCTAGGTTGAACCTCAAACACCACCCCATCCCTAAATAAAAACAAGAAACAAAAAACTTTAATATGTAGAACTCAGCCATTATTTTTGCCATTTCAAATACATTAAGAATTCAAATACATACACAGAAATTTAAGTTATAAAGTAAGGAAGGTAAAAAACATGGAGTCAAAATAATCCTTTAAATCCTTTTATGTAACTGCAAGGGTATAGTTGTATAATATATACACTCACTCAGTAGAAGGGCAAACAGAATCTTAAATTTTTAATGTCTTCTTTGTCTTATTGGGAAAGTATAGCTGGTATTGTGTAAGTTATTATGTGATTCTACTGTAAAGCTGTGTGTGTATAGTTAAAAAAAAAAACCCATCTATTCCCTATACAGTGATAGCTACTTTTAGTACTTGAGTTTCCATTTTGTCAATAGTTAAAAGATAATCTATTAAATTGTTCTGGTTTGTTTCTCCACTGCTGTGACAAAATACTCTGACTAATACCAACTTGGGGGAGGAAAGGGTTTATCTGGCTTACATCTCCCAAGTAACAGTTCATCACTGAGGGAACCCAAGGTAGGAACTCAGGACCGGAACCTGGAGCACAGAGCTGAAGGACAGGCCATGGAGGAATGCTGCTTACTGGCTTGTTCCACTGGCCCATGTTCAGCCTGCTTTCTTATACAATACAGAGCAACCTGCCCAGGGGTGGCACTGCCCACAGTGGGCTAGGCCCTCCTACATCACTTAAGAACACATCCCACAGACATGGCCACAGGCCAGTACAATGGAGACAATTCCTCAGTTAGGGCTCCCTCTACCCAGGTGTGTCAAGTTGACAACTAACCTATCCAGTACATGGATTATTGGGCTACGCAATAATATTATGTTAAATTCAACACTCACTTTAACAGTTTACAGTTGTTTTCAAAAGTCCTTTGCAAGAGTTTTTAAAAAGAAGTCAGCTTCTTCTAATAGTTATTATAAAAGTTACCAAAAAATGTTAATGGATATTTGTGTGCTCAAGGAAATTATACAAGAAGGAAATAAAGAAAATAAAAACTAAAAAGGCAAAACTTGAACAATACATGACCTCATCATATACTGAATAATTAAAACTTATACATATGATTTGTAATGTGGCAGATTGTTGGCTGCTGACCAGCATATTAATATTTCCCACATTCAAAGTTATGCACCTACCCTGTGAACTGGTGCCTTATCTTTTATCGACAAATGAGCACACTGAAGTTTTAGCTCCATCATACATTTTCTATTTCATTATCAAAAAATTTTTAGTATTTCTAAGGTTTTTATACTATACCTATCATGATTTATTTCTCTGTATAGTATAAAGTAGAAGACTTAGGATTTTCCCCCATATATTAATCCAACTGATCTCATATTTCTTTGAGAATTCTCTATTTGAGCTCCTTGAGATATTATCTAATAATTTCTATTCAGAGCTCCACTTTAATTACTGTAATTTTATAGCACAATTTGATGTCATATAGGAAAAGTCTTTTTCAAATTTTCTTTTAGAACAATGGGCTTGTTAACAATATGACTTTTGAAAACAACACTTTAAATAAAAATTTCATAAAGTACTCACTGTAACTGAAACACAACATGCGTATTAATTTGAGATAAATAGGTATTTTAAAAATATACCCCCATCAATTAATGTGTTAGGGCAATCTATCTCTAGATTTCATATCCTCAATAAACATGTATAGTGTGCGTATTTCTTTTAATTAGAATTGCTAGGATCTTATGTTTTTAATATTACTCAAAATATATAAGACTAGTGAATATTTATGTCTACAATTTAATCGTTTCATTAAATTTCATTTCTCTTTAAAATTTTTTAATTGATTTTTTTGTGTACTTCATATAGAACATCCCAAGCAATCTTATTCATCTTTATACCCACATCCCAAATGGCACCCTTCCATAGCCTCTCCCCCCTCCCCCAACTGGAGCCCATATACTCTGACATCCCCGTAAAAAATATTTTTTATGTTATATGAATGTATTGTCTGCAAATATGTAAGTGCACCTGTGTTGTGTAATGTCCCCAGAGGTCAGAAGAGGGGGTTGGATTCCCTTAGCTGCTCCCATGTGGGTGCTGGAAATCAAATCCAGGTCTTCTGAAGAGTAGCCAGTGCTCTTAACCTCTGAGCAATCTCTCCAGATCTCATTTCGCCTTTTTACAAAGTAAAATTCCAATCACAATAATGATTAGAATAGCAACAATACCTGTGTATATGTGTAGCAGCCAGTTTTTAAAAAAATCAGTATCTGCACATTTCTTTCATTTAACCTGTTTTTGTTCTTAAGAGTACTTTCAAAAGCATTTCCTAAACTAGGCTTCATATTTCACTGATAAATATTTGTAGAGCAAAGAAAAATTATTCCTATGAATAACCAGACACAAAATTTAAATGCAAGTTTAATTGTATTGGTCTTTTTTGTTAAGACAAGAAATGAATTAAGCTAATGTGATGGCATATTCCTAGAAATAGTGCTTAAAATAAATTAGTGAATATATTAATGCTAACAGATTAAGGAGAAAAAGGAAAGAACATATGACCTTCCACTTCAAATATCTAAGGCATACCAATTTGTGTTATAATATTGATTAGGTATGATCAGCATACAATAAACCAATACATTTAAGCATGCAGTTAGTTGAGCTTTGCTAACATACACAGGCATCCAATTATTAGTGCAGTCATGCTAAAAATAACCTTCCATTACTCAGGGGCTGGAGAGATGGCTCAGCGGTTAAGAACACTGCTCTTGCAGGACCCAGGTTCGATTCCCAGTGCCCACATGGTGGCTACGAACTGTCCTTAACTCCAGTTCCAGGGGAATCTGAAGCCCTCTACTGACCTCCACAGCATTGTAAGACACGAGTACACTCACATACACGCAAGCAATACACTCATACACATAAAATAAAAATAATAAATAAAATATTTAAAACAAAAAAACCTTCCATTACTCAAAAAATATTCCTTAGGGCCTTGCTGCATTCAATTCCCACTCCTAATAATTTATGTTATTTTATTGTCTTGAGAATTTAATGCAACAAATCATACATAAACTACATATAACTTTATTCTCTTTTCACTTAGCAAAATATTTCTGAAATTCAACCACACTGTCATATGTGACAGCTTAGTCTCTTCATCTTACTGAATAGTATTATTTTGTTGTATATGAAATGCTGTTTGTCCATTCATAAGCCAAAAATATTTGTCCATTTTATTATCAAAAATTTTGTTATTACCATGAATAAAGCATTTATGTAGATATGCTTTAATTTCTTGTGGATACCTAAAGGTAGAAATATTATAGTGAATGGTCATTGTGCTGGATAGCTTCAGTTGTCAACTTGACACACCTGGGAAGAAGGAATTCACTTGGGGAATTTCTTCTACTGGATTGACCTTTGCGTATGTCTGTGAGGTATTTTCTTAATTGTAGAGTGATATGGGAGGGCCAGCCCAATATGGGTGATGCCATCCCTGGGCAGGTGGTCCTAGAATCTATAACGAAGAAGGCTGGGCATAGGCCAGAGGAGTAAGTCAGTAAGCAGTGTTCCTCCATGGTCTGTACTTCAGTTCCTGCCTCTAGGTCCCTGGCTGAGCTCTTGTTCTGGCTTCCCTGAACAATAGACACTGATCAGGACATGTTAGCCAAATAAACCTTTTCCATACCAAGTTGTTTTTGGTCAGAGTGTTTTATCACAGCAATAGAGAAGCAAACTAGAGCAATCAGTATATGCTTAATTTCTTAAGAAAATAATAAAACTGTTTCCCCAAATGGTTGTATCACTGCATGCTCCTATTAGCAATGAATAACTGTTCTGTTTTACATCCTCATCAACACTAAGTATTATTAGCATTTTCCATTTTAACGATCTGATAATTAGCTCTAATAGTCTGGCTAATTTACTACGACTTTCTAAATATATACTATCATACGCAATTAGTGATGTTCTTACTGCTTTATACAGAATGTCAATAATTGTAGACATTTGTGATTTTTTTACCTTGACATAATGCTGCCAATATTTTAAGGATGGGATCTCACTATATTTATAGTTAATCACATTAGGATGTTGTCTAATTTTCAGTTTAATAAGAACTTTTTTATAACCATATATGAATACTATGTTTTTTATCAAGTATTACTCAGCATCAAAAAAATGCAGCGATTCTTCTCTACTTTGAGTTTCTGTGATAGTGAGTTAAATCAATACATTTCCTAATTTTGTATTATCCTCATCTTGTGAAATAATCCATAAATATATTATGTGGCTACAGTATCATATTTAATTTATTAAGACTTAACACCAATATTTGTTAATTTACTCTAAAGTGGCATTTTTAAGATTTTGTTCCATAAGATACGTTAGTATACATTTCTTGGGGGAAAATAAAACTTTAATTTTCAATTTTTTAAGGAAGAGAGGTAAAATGCATGGAAACATAGTTTAAGGAGCTAGTAGAATGATTAAACAAGGTAATCTTCAATTTTCCATAAGAACATGACCTATGATTTTATCTCAGGTAAGTACCATCCTTGGGACCACTATATCTGTTATACCTGTTACTAAAATTGGTTAAAAACTGGTTCTAAAAAAACCAATAATTTATCAAAGTGTAGTAATTTAGTGAAGCTAAGTGTTTTGCTATAGTTTTAAGTCTCCCAAAGACTAATTCTCCCTTAATAATGAACTAAAAGGAATTGTTAAAATATGGACAAGAAGAATTTAACCTACCTGAGTATGGCTGACTGTTGTATGGCTGCCATGGAGAGGTGACTGCCGATCTTTGTCCTTACTGTGCCGACTGCTCTGCTTGCTGCGTTGCAGCTGCTGCCTCAATTTGGCAATCTGCTTTGGGGAGAGAGTAAAGAAGAAGAAAACAAAAGTGAGTATCAGCTTTTTTCCTCTCCTAAGTTTTAAGAAGGGCTATTTCACCACAATTATTTATTCTTCAAATTGTTCTGATTAAGATTATTGGAAATGAGAAAGAAATGTGTAGCACAAATGCTTCACTTGAAAACTTACAACTTACATGTAAATTAACTTACAAAATGTTGATTTAAGTCATA